GAAATATCCTGGCATCAATCTCTATTTATTGTCAGTGAGATGGTAGAAACATGAAGAAGCAGACTCATTGCGGTAGCAGAAACATAAAAGTGTGGAAATGCAAACCAACCTCTATTAGAGAGATTACTGTCACCCTCTGAGATACCATAACCCTCGACCCTCTTTTTACAAGAACCTGAGCCAGAGCTTACTGGGAGATGAGACTGACAAGAGGCACCATTATATCAACATTTTAATGAGTACCTTGGGGAAGGTAAAATCTACAGATTTCTGCATATTTGATACTACTGTATGCATCCTTTGGCTAGCAAGTCATAACTTCTTGCCCCTCTAATTTCTATCATTAAAAATTATTATATAAAATTCCTTTCTCTATGTTGCCTAACTGTTGTCCAGGAATGTACTTTATGGGATAACTGGGTGTTTCAAGTATCTGTTGTGTCAAAACAAAATATATCAATAAATTTGATACTTTTAGCTGCATGTTCATATCTACCTTTTCCTATTCCCTAGTTTCTTCTATCTGCCACTTCTACACAATTACTGAGGCATGCTGAATAGGTCCATCCCAATTTCATTATTTCTAACCACTAGCACACTAATTTTTTTAAAAAACACATTTTATGCTCTCCACAGTAGCTGTTCAAAAATTTTTCCTCTTCCCAGTCACCAATCCCTAGCTCCAATCTTTTCTCAATAGACTACCTTAACTTCTACTGTATTGTGATTGAGCAATCTTGAGTTCCCTTCATATCTCCAAACCTTTTTATGCTCTCATCCCTCCTGCTCTGGGGACCGGGAAGGCTACATCTCCCCTCAAGGAGATATCTAGAGGATATCCTAGGGGTTTTGAGGGGATCTCTTCTGTACTGCCATTGGCTTCAGCCCCTACAAGTTGTGTTACTCCCCCTCCTCCTCATATGTTAGGGGCAGAGGAGCACAGTTACTAGCATTCCAGTTCCATTTAACCACTGACATAGTCTAGCTTTTACAAAGGGATTTTTGCTTCAAGGGTATAGTAAGAACACACATACATCCCCCACCCTCATACCTCCCCTGCACCACATTGGTTACTGGGGGCAATAGGCTCAAAACTGAGTTCAGTACCTATGTAGCACTGGTCTCACCAAGTTCATGTCCAAAGATAGCATTGCTGCTGGATAAGCCCCTGTTTCAGCTTTCTCTGGCATGGTTCCAGAAGGTTACTCCTTCTTGAAGCATTGATGATGAGCTGGCTTTAATACTTGACCTAGGGGCAGCTAGGTGGCGCAGTTGATAGAGCACTGGCCCTGAATTCAGGAGGACCTGAGTTCAAATCTGGCCTCAGACACATAACACTTAACTAGCTGTGTGACCTTGGGCAAGTCACTTAACCCCACTGCCTAGCCAAAAAAAGAAAAAAGAAAGAAAGAAAAAAAAAGAAAAGAAAAAAAATACTCGACCTAGGTTTCTACTTCCAGATTCCTGTGGCTTGCTCTCTCAATGTAAGGTTAGAAACTTGATAGTTCTTGACTAGTAGTGCCAAGATGGTAAAGTAGAGGGAGCATTCCAGCCAATATTACCTTCTAAACAACTTTTAATAATTGACAAATATTTTAATACTAACAAATAATGTGTCAAATCAAATAATGGAGTGGCATAGCCAACAAAAAGTCAGGGTGGGAGATTTTTCCAGCCCAAGACAACTTAGGAAGATGGAAGGGAGATCTGTGACACTGGGGGTTAGAGCTGACCAGGAGCACAGCATGAGTCAACATCAGCTGTGGATCTTGGAGGCAGCAGAATTAGCAGCAGCAATTTGGGGAGCTCTCAATACCCTGGGATTGTAAAGGGTTTGGACAATTGGTTAGAAAGAGATTAGAGGGGACCCCTGTGCTGGCACTGGATGTAAGACTGGGTGCTGTTTGGCACCTCCATTGCCCATTACCCAGTTCCAGGTCTGTGTTCTAGGGCACACAGGTATGCTTGCGGTCACAAGGGGTCAGGGGACTTGCTGCAGTTCCAAGGTGGTGAGGAGTGCTTGTAGTTGTATGGGAGCATGGTCCCTACCTGGGTAAGAACAAGAGTAAAACCAGGAGAGCAGGAAATACCTTGAAAACACTGAAAACTTATAGACTCCCAGAATTAGCTGTGAAAACAGCAGAGTAGAAAAAGTCTGAAGCTTGGGATGGTGATGTCATCTCCTCAAGGTGAGCAGAGATTAATTCTAACATAAAATTCAAAATAAAAAAATTGACTGGAAAAATAAGTAAACGACAAAAAAAAGAACATGACCATAAAAAGCTACTACAGTGACAGGGAAGCTCAAGATACAAAACTCAGAAGACAACAACATGAAAACATCTACAACCAAAGCCTCAAAAAAATGCAGATGGGATACAAACTCAAGGTTAGAAACTCTTCACCAGATGCCATAATGTGAAGGAGTCACAGATCTCATAGAAGCAACTGAAGCAAAGAGACAGTAGCTGAAGCTGAAAGACCTTTCTGAATGCCCCTGCATATGATTAAAGAGCCTCTCCAACATATAGTTAGCCAACTGGAACCAATCATAGGTTGTCTACACATGTTCCATAATCTTTAAGGCATTTTTCTCAATCATGATAACTATTCTTCCAGAAGCAGGCTTCCCAGGTTCTCATGTGGAAAGATGCTGCTATCCCAGGTGTTCTGTACATGTAAGGCTAACTATTTGTGCTTATCAACCCTATGCAACATGACTTCTGGCCCCAAAACTTTACTGAAACACTCTCTAAAGTCCCCATGAATTTTATTAGCACTTCTACACATTTGACTATTAAATATGCATACAAACCTCCAATGCCTCCCATGAGCTCCTCTTCAACCGTCAACTAGAATCTCTACCTAGATATCCCACTAGCTCCTTAAATTCAACATGTCCCAAACTGTGAAGCCAAGTCAGTAAGCACCTCCTATGTACCAGGTACTCCACTAAGCAAGCACCATTGACAGACAAAAATAAAACCAGTCCCTTCTTTCAGGAAGCTCAAAGTCTAATGGGAGAGACAATATGCAAGTAATTATGTACAAAAAAAGCTAATACAGTATAAATTGTAGATAATCACAAAAGAAAGGCATTAAAGGGGATTGGGAAAGGCTTCTTGAGGAAGGTGAAATTTTAACTAGGACTTAAAGAAAGCTTAGGGAATCTGGGAGACAAAGATGAGGAGGGAGAGAATTTGTATGTAGAACAGCCAGTGAAAATGAACAGTTAGAAGACGAGATATTCTTGTTGCACAGCAAGGAGGCCAGTGTCACAGGATCAGCAGAGTAAGTAGAGAAGATTCAAGTGTAAGAAGACTAAAAAGAGGGGAGAAAGGGAGGAACAGGCTATGAAGGGCCAAATAAGATTGTATTTTTGATCCTAGAGGTAATAGTGAACCATGCAGTTTATTGAGTATGAGGGTGGTATAGTCTGACCTTCACTTTTAGGAAGAAAAATTTGAGAACTGAATGGAGGATGGACTGGAGTGGGGAGAGACTTGAGGCAGGGAGATCAAACAGAAATCTATTGCAATAATTCAAGCATGAAGCAAAGACGCCTGCACCAGAGTACAGTGTCAGAGAAGAGAACAGATTAGATATGGGGAGTGCAGCAGAGAGCGAGATACCCAGTATGATAACTATGTTTCTAGCTTAGGTGAGTAGGAGGATTGTGGTGGCCTTGACAGTAATGGGCAAGTTAGGTATAGGGGAAGGTTTGAAGGCAAAGATAATGTGTTCAGTTTTGAATATGTTGTGTTTGAGGTATCTATGGGACATCCAGTTAAAGATAAACAAGCAGTTAGAAAAAGGAGACTGGAAGTCAAGAGGGAGGTTAGGGCTAGATAAATGGATCAGAGAAGCATCTACATAGAGATGATAATTAAATCCATGGGAGCCGATGAGATCACCAAGTGAAATACTGTAGAGGAAAAAGAGAAGAGGGCCCAGGATGACACTGGAGTTTAGAGAGTATGATATGGATGAAGCTCCAGCAGAGGAGACTGAAAAGAAGCAGGTAGAAGAACTAGGACAGAGAAGTGTCACAAAAACTTAGTGAGAAGAGGAAGACTCACAGCATTAAAGGCTGCAGAGCATAACCTCTAAGGGTCCTCCTCAGAAATGAATGAAGATTGAGGGAATATTTGGTAACTTTGGAGAGGGCAGTTTCAGTTGAATGACATATTACAGAGTTGTACTGCTGAGTTAAGAGAGTAAGAGGAACTGAACATCATCTGCACCCCCCCCCAATATGCTCCTTCTCTAAACTTCTCAACTTCTCTTAATGGATTCTCTATCGCCCCCCCAATCATCCCCCCCAATGTCTCAACAGACATCTTCAACATTTTGCTCCCTCATCCCATGTATCTTTTGCCAGTTCTCATCAATATTACCTCCACAATATCTCCCACACCCATTCTTTTTTTTAAATCAATTCACACAATCACTACTGTAGTTCACACATCTCCTCTGGATTATTGTAGTAGTTTCCTACTGGTTGGTCTTCTCACCTTCATTCGCTCCCCTCTCCAATCTGCCAAAGTTTTCAGTGACTACCTATAGCCTGACATTCATGGCCCTCCAAAATCTAGCTTACGTTGAACTTTCACACTATTTCCCTGTATCCACTCCTTTCTCCAGGCAAGCTGTTCCCCCAGATTTATCCTGAACTTGAAGGGCATTTTTACAAGCCTTTCCCTACGCCTTTTCTGGGAGCTTTCTCAGAGCCCGCCTCCAGCTAAACATGCTTTCTCCCTTTTCAGCTTTTCCTACATTTTTGGTTCTGCCTTTTACACACCCTCTTGCATTATACTTATTTGCGTACATGTATTAATTCCTATTGGATTGTAATCTCCTTAAGTGCAATGGTTGTATCCATTTTTGTATCCCCAGCTGCAGTTTCTCACACAGTGGGAGAACTAAAATGTTTAAACTTAATTCCCCGCCCCCATTTCTACGGCAAACATCGGAACCCACTCTAGTTCAAGCTGACCTGGAAACGGAAGTAAATAGTCACTGCTACTTCTGGGAGAACGTTTTCTGGAGGTCTTTCTACGTAGAAAAACTGAGCTGCCTCCTGCATAGGCCAGAGGTGAGAATGAGGAGTGGGTGTGGATGGTCTACTGTGCGGCTGAGCCGGGGAAGCATCGTTCTTATTCTCTGTAGGTAGCGGGAGAGAATCCTATGAGCCTAAAGTCAAAGGCTTCCAAGGAGAAGCTCAAGAAGGGGCCGAGAAAGGACTAAATCTGTGTGTCTCCATGGCAGTCCAGACATACCTCCCCCCTTCTTTTTTTCTCTTTAAGATCAGCTTCTTTGAGAACCTGGGCTTGCCGCTGAGGATTCTGGACGTTGTTCTGGGTGGGGTGGGTTGTAATTGGGGACTTCTGCGTGGGGACTTCTGGGACTTGTAGTCCAGGTAGGGCGAGTGCATACTAGGGCTGCCGCTTCAAAGGGTCTTCTTGGAATAAGAGGTGAGTACGGGCCTAGGGACCTCAAAACCACTGGGACTCCCCACATTTTACCCGTGGCACCAAAGGGATTAGTCCATCTTCTTTTGCATCATCAAAGATTAGAAATCCCACAGTGTCCTGTTACTTCAAGAAATGTTATTTTGGCATCCCAGCCCCTGCCTCCTTTCACCATTAGTCTCTTGGCTCTATGATCATTAACATATTTACAGAGTTGTGGGGTTACAAGATTGTGAAGAATCCTAGAATCCAAATTTTAGGGCTGAACTGGACTAAAAGATCATCTAGTCCAGACACTTATTAACATCTAAAAGAGGAAAGGAAAACAAGGAAAAGGGGAAGTGTTTCCTGAAAAAAGTGTTAGAACAAGAACCCACCCTCTCCAGAAACCTTGGGGCCTGACAGGGTTAGGTATCAGAATTAGGAATGGGGAATATGGTTTCTAGACTTTCTACTGACAAGGGTTCATTCTAGGCTCCTGTGGTTTGTTCCCATTCCTTATTGGAGCTTGAGGAAGTTTTAGAAATTCAAATATGAGTCACAGATCAATCAATCAACAAGGATTCATTAGTCTCCTGTTACATGCACTTTGTTAAGCCCTGTGGATACAAACACAAAAAGTAAAACAGTTCCTGCACTCAAGAATCTTATATTCTAATGGAGAATAGTGTTATATAAAATATATACAGAATATGTACAAAATTAATACAAGATAATTTTGTGAGGGAGTGCACTAGCAGTTGGGTTTCATGTAAAAGGTTGAGATGAATCTTGAAGGAGATCAGGGATTCTGGGGATTCCAAGAGACAGAGAGTGTATTGCAGGGATGGGAGACAGCCAATTTAAAGGCACTGGGGCCTGGAGATGGAGTGAAATGTGATGATAAGCTGTATCATGGAGTATGGAGTCAAATCTAAGAAATCTGGGAAGGCAGGAAAGCATCAGGTTGTAAAGAGCTTTAAATGTCAAACAAAGGATTTTATATTTGATCATGAAGGCAATAGGTAACCATTGGAATAAATTGAGGGAGGTGTTAGGTGGCATTATCAGACCTGCACTTTAATAAAATCATTTTGGCAGCTGTGTGGAGGGTGAATTGGAATAGGGAAAGACTTGAGTCAAAAAGGCTAAATAAATGGTAGGCTATTGGAGAAACCAAGATGAGAAATGAGTAAGACCTGAACTAGTGGAGGGTATGATATGTTGATGAGATAAAAACCACAGCTTCTGACTAGTTACATATATGGGGTAAGAGAGAGGGGGGATTCAAGAATAAAGCCAAAGTGGGAAACTTGGTTGCCTGGAAGGATAGTAGTGCCCTTGACATTAATAGGGCAATTGGAAAAAGGGTGGGGACTTTCTGGGGGGTCAGGGGGAGAGAAGATAGTGGGTTCTGTATTGGATAAATTGAGTGTGAGTTGCTTATGGGACATCTAGGTGGAAATGTCCAACAGGCAGATGTGTAACTGGAGCTCAGGAGAGATTTTAAGATTGGATATATAGATCTGAGAATCACCTGCATAGAAATAGTCATTAAACACATGGGCACTAGTGAGATTACCAAGATCATTTCCTACCCACAATCTTTCCTTACCTTCATCATCTCACCAGAAACTCATCATTCTACAAGATAAAATCAATTCAGAAACTCATACCTCCTAAGATAATTTCCCACTCTTACATTCCAGTAGAGATAGTGTCATATAAAATATATACAGAATATGTACAAAATTAATACGACATAGTTTTGTGAGGGCGTATACTTGCAGTTGGGCTTCATGTGAAAGGTTGAGATGAATCTTGAAGGAGATCAGGAATTCCAAGAGGCAGAGGTGAGAAGAAAGTACATTACGGACACGAGAGACAGCCAATTTAGAGCCCTTGGGGTCTAAAGATGGAGGGAAGTATGATGAACTTGTGTGACTTCATGAAGTTGCAAGACTTCATCATTCCCTGCCATCCTCCCCTTTCAGCTTCTTTTTATGTGTTGTCCCCCACATTAAATTTTGAGCTCCTTGAGGGCAGGAACTGTCTTAAACCTTTCTTTGTATTCCCAGCATAGGCACTACATATACATATATGTACATGTATGTGTATATGTATATATATGTAGGTATATGTATACACACATGTGTATTCTAACTGCTTTGTGCCCAAGACAGAAAGTATAAAGAGAAGGGAGAAGGGGGCCTAGGCCTTGGGGTATACCCACAGTCAGTGATCATGACAGGGATAATAAATTAGCAAAAGAAACTGAAGAGAGGTCAGAAAGGTAAAAGAATTAAGACATGCCATGAAGAGTCAGAGAGTAGAGAGTATCCAGAAGAGATTAGTCAGTATTGTCAAATATTGCAGAGGTCAAGGAGGATGCAGATTAAGAAAAGGCTAATAGATTTGGCAATTAGAAGATTGTTCATTAGTAACTTTGGAGAGAGCAGTTTCAATTGAGTTTGGAAGCCTGATCACAAAGAATTAAGAATAAAGGAAGAAATGAAGGCACCAGGTGAATAGATGGTCCTGAATAGAGCAAAATATACTCTAATGCCTTCCCTAAGATTTCTCACATTTTTTATGGTTTAAATAAAGCAAGGCTAAAGTACAAAAGGCAATTACGGGGCATACAAAAAGTAACAGTGGAATACTGCACTAATTAAAACTTGGTCAGTGATTGTCGTTTGAATTTAAACATCACCACCCATTTCACTGTGAAATTATTTTATAATGATAATCCTCTATGTATGTGTATATCTTAGAAATTTTCATATGTGCTATGTTATTTGATCTTGCAACAATTCTATAAGGAAGGGAACATTAAATATCAATATAGCTATTTTTATAGGTGAGAAAACTGAGGATACAAAGAGTGCAGTTATCTCCTCTTATCCCCTTCCAAGGGACTTCACAAATCTCTAGTGACATTCATTAGATAGATAGATATATTTTGCATAATGTTGCCCTGACAAATATTTTTACAATATTATCATTAGTGCATTATATATAACTAAACCTCAGCCAATGCTAACCCTTCTACTTAGATTCTTGAACCCATTCCTTTCCATCTTCTCTATGAACTTTCTCCTTCAATCATCCCTTTTCTCTCCCTAGTTTTCACCCTCTCCTTGTTATTCATCCTTGGACTTTAGGATAGAGAAACTTCTTGTTCATCCTTTGTTTTTCAAAGCAGACCTGTGACATCACTGTGATATCTTGCCTTGCACATGAATTGGATTTAAGTGAGGCAGAGTTGCACAGAGTTGTCATCCTGACTCTCTTCTTGAGTCACTGAAGTTCAGTGGCAGGACAAAAGTCAAGATGACTGATAATAACCCAAAATGCAATGGATGACTTTGGTGTCTTTGATGTCTGACTGAGCTGTAAATATTCCACACTTCCTGTTTTAGCTCCGTTCATGCCCATTAGAACAAATTGCTCTCATCTGCCCATTTTGCTGGGGAATGTCTTCCCGTGCTTGGGGTAGACATTCCCCCTCACTCACCAACAGGTTTGAAGCCCGTTGGTTACCCTCAACTTGGTTTAGCCTCTCTGCTGAGACAGTTTACCAGGGTATGAACAGCTTGTTTGGGCCATTTCCCAATTGATGAGCTTCCTCTCAACTTCTAGTTCTTTCCCCCAGAAAAGAGCTGCTATAAATACTTTTGTACATAAAGGTGCTTTTCCTTTTTTTTTTATCTCTTTTGGGATATGGACCTAGTAGTAGTATTGCTAGGTGAAAGGGGTATGCATGGTTTTATAGCCCTTTGGGCATAGTTCCAAATTGCCTTACAAAATGGTTGAATCAGTTTAGAACTCCACCAACAGTGCATTAAAGTTTTATTTTTTCCCACACACCCTCCAACATTTCTCACTTATTTTTTCTGTCCTATTAGCCAATCTAATAGGTATGAGGTAGTACCTCAGAATTATTTGAATTTGCATTTCTTCAGTCAATAGTGAGGATATTTTTTCATATGGCTGTAGATAGCTTTGATTACTTCATTTGAAAACCGATCATATCTTTTGATTATTTATAAATTGGGAAATGGATCTTATTTTTATAACTTGCACTCAGTTCTCTATATGTTTGAGAAATGAGGTCTTTATCAGAGAAACTTGCTTCAAAATTTTTTTCACGATTACTATTGCTATTTCCCTCCATCTTATTCCCCCCTTTTATTCTATTCTTTCTCTCCTTTCACCCTGTCCCTCCTTAAAAGTGTTTTGCTTCTAACTACCCTCTCCCCCAATCTGTCCTCATTTCTATCACCCCCTTCCCTTCTCTTATCTCTTTCCCCTCCTACTTTTCTATAGAGTAAATAAGATAGATTTCTGTACCCAATTGAGTGTGTATGTTATTTTCTCTTTGAGCAAGTTCTCATGAGAGTAAGGTTTACTCACACTTCCTCACCTCCTCCCTCTTCCTTTCCAAAGTAAAAGCTTTTTCTTGACTCTTTTATGCAAGATAATTTACCCCATTCTACCTCTCCCTTTCTCTTTCTCCAACTACATTCTTCTCTCACCCCTTAATTTTTTTTAGATATTATCCCTTCATATTCAACTCACACCTGTACCCTCTGTCTAAATATACTCCTAACTACCCTACTAATGAGAAAGGTCTTATGAGTTA